AACAAATTCAGGACCCCTGAGTTGGAAGAGAAATGGTTTGCGCAGTTAACCCAAAGGAAACAGTTGCTAGCTGAAAGTGTGGATGAATCCTACATAGCAATTGAAGAAATGCTTCGACGAGTAGAGTCAGGCAGGCATCAGTACTCTAATACGGCTAAAGCACAAATGTTTATTAATGGACTTCATTCTGAATTGTTTATAGCCATATCGCCTCTAACCCCTAATTCGTTAGAAGAAGCATATACCAGAGCAAAGGCATTTGAGAATGCTTACAAACAGAATTCTGTTCAAACTGCTTATGCAACTCCAACAGTATTTCATTCTCCTTATAGTTTCCCTGAAACCCCAAATCTTAATCTCACTAGTTCAAATAAAACGGCTGAGGCTTTAAAAACTTTAATGAATTCAATCGATAAGCTTATGACTCAACTTCAAGATCAGTGAAGGCCACTATCTAGATCTTGGTTTAGAAATTTTACCTCATCTACTGTATCGTATTTCACTTGTGGCCGTACTGGACATTATAGTCAAAATTGTCCTGACCTACCTAATAATCGTAACTCTTCAGCTAATAATCGGCCGCCTGTAGTTAATAATAATAATAATTCCGGTGTTAATAATAATAATAATTCTACTCTTAATGGAAATGACTCTCAAGAAACTCTGCAAGCCTATTGACATTAATGAATAATAATCCAGGCATTTTTAATAATACCGGGGATCAAACTTCGTATTTAGGAATTCCTGAAAATGAGTCATTATTTTTACCAGCAGAAAGGCCTATTCGTCCCAAGCCTATAGTAAATATGCCGATTCTTAGAAAAAAGTTAACTGGAACGAAAACAACTGATTTAATCGATCTTGAAGAAGGAGAGAGTACTAAAGATCTAGACATAGAAATGAAAGAAGTTTATAAAGATCATGAAGGTCAAGAATTACAAGACCTAGTTACTCAAAATCAAGACCAAGACCAAGATGAATCCGTTGAACTACTTGAAGTAAAAAAAGTTGAACCACCTAAAGTAAATAAAAAGAAAGAAGATGTAAAAGTGGGTCAAAAGAAGGTTCCTGTTATTCGACGAAAGAATATTGTGGAGGATAATTTACCCCAAATCTCTTCTTTGGTCACATCATATTTGATAGTAGCCAATGTAAGGAATAAACCTGCCAATATAACTATCGGGCAATTGTTACAAGTTACATCATCTATAAGACAAGAATTATCATGATCCTTACAAAAGAAAAGAGTCGTAAGTTATAAAAAGGCTCAAGCCAATGTTAATATACAATCTACCTTAAAATCAATGGCTTTATATTGCGATGCTAAGGTTTACGACCGAGTAATTCTATTAATTGTTGATAGCAGGTCTTCTGGAAGTGTTGTTACTTCCCATTTATTGAATAATCTTGGTATAAGAATCGAATAGCCATCGGTAGTAAATATGGTCAACATCTATGGAAAGAGTAAGCGTGCTATTGGAGAAATTTCTGATTTTCCATTCAATATCGGTGGTGTTGAAATCCCGATCGATGTAGTTGTAACCGATGCCGGTTCGTATTGTGCTATTGTAGGAAATGACTGGTTAGCTAAGGTTAAGGCAGCCATCAATTGGAACAGGTCTGAGATGACTTTGGTCTGGGATGATAAAGAAATTGTTGTTCCAGTTGAGTTTCGAAAATTAGCCAAGGTGCTGTTAGACAAAGAACGAGTTGTAAGAATAAGAGACCTTGGAATCGATGATAATGACGAAGTTAAAGAAGAAGATGAGGAAGTCGAAGATGAAGAATTAGAAGAGCAACTGTATACAATCTTGGAATTTAACGATGAAAGAGAGAATATTCAAAAAAGGCTAGGCTCAGAATGGGATGAAATTATGATAGAAGAAAGAGATATTAGACAAATGAATGAAGAAATAATATTATACGATGAAGGACCTGTTGCAGGTTTTATTTTAGCGCAAGAGGAAGACAACCGATCTATATCCGATCTATTTAATTATTACTATGAAAAAGGAAGCTGCTCCAATATTAAATATAATATAAAAGAAGTAGAAGACAACCAAAGAAAGCAGTTGTTGGAGTTACTTAGAGAAAATCCTAATCTTTGTGCTCAAGATATCTCTGAGTTGGGCCGGACTGATATAATTCGGCATTGTATTCCTACCCAAGATGTATGGCTGATTCGTCAACGATCATATCGATATTCTTCCGCCAAAAAGCGATTTCTCAAGGAAGAAATTAATAGTATGTTGGATGAGCAGATTATTCAACCATCTACTAGCCTGTGGGTGTTACCAGTTGTATTGGTTAAACAACAAAACTGAAAGATACGATTTTGTATCGATTATAGAAAATTGAACGCCATAACTGTCAGAGACAATTATCTATTACCCAAGTTGATGAACTTTTGGATACTTTGAATGGATCATCTTGGTTCACGTCATTAGACTTAGCTAGTAGATATTGGCAGGTCGAGATGTTCGAAGATGATAAAGAAAAGACTGCGTTTATTTTACCATACGGACTTTACGAGTTCAATGTTATGCCATTTGGACTTATGAATGCCCCAGCTACGTTCCAGAGTTTAATGGATCAAATCTTCAGCGACATAAGTGGAAGATTTGTTGTTGTGTATCTTGATGATCTTAACATTTTTTCTAGATCGTTTGAAGAACACTTAGATCACTTGAAAGAAGTATTTTTATGATTGAAGCAGGCAGGTTTAAAAATTAAGCCCCAAAAGTATTATTTCGTCTGTAAAGAATTGAAATTTTTAGGGTATGTTGTAAGCGTACAAGGAATATCAACCGACCCAGAAAAGATTCAAGCTGTTCAAGAATTTCCTGTTCCTCAAAATTTGAGACAGTTACGTAGATTTTTAGGATTAGTGTCTTACTATTGACGATTTATCTCTGAATTTACAAGAATCGCAGTTCCATTAAATTTGTTACTATGAAAGAATGTTGGATATCATTGGATATCAATGCATCAAGAAGCTTTTGAGGGATTGAAAGAAAAACTTATCACAGCTCCAGTTTTAGCATACCCAAATTTTTTAAAACCTTTTATCCTTTATACAGATGCGTCAGACTTAGCACTAGGCGCTATTCTTTCTCAATTGGATGATGATGGAAAAGAAAGAGTAACCACTTATGCAAGTTACTCTTTGACCCCAGCAGAAAAAAATTATTCTGTAATGGAAAAAGAGTGCCTTGCCGTCGTTTGGGCTATTTCATATTTTAGACCTTATCTTCACGGAGTTCCTTTTATACTTTATACAGATCATTCTGCGTTGAAATCGTTATTTTCTCATCGGCTACCCCAGAATCGACTGGCCAGATAGATCCTGACCTTGCAGGAGTATAGATTTACTACCATCCACAGATCCGGAAAAATACATTTTAACACCGATAGTCTTTCATGAATTTAAGACAATCGATTTTTTTTTATTTTTACTCCTATTTGAACTTTGACGATATCGATTTTGGATTGCCCAAAATTTTGATTAACAAAACTTTATGGATTTAGATACATATTACTTATTTTTAAGGTATCTTAGCGAGTCTACAGTACCTTCTAGTTATACTAGTGCCCAGATTAGAATTTTGAAGCATAAAACACGTCATTATCTCGCCTGGGAAGGACTGTTATATAAGAAAAACCCCAGAACCCTCTCAGACCATTACGAATATTGAAGCCACAAGACGTTGAACCCGTATTATATGCAATGCATTCGAATCCCTTAGCGGGGCATTTCAATAAAGAGGCAACGTACTAGCAAGTTATTACTCGATATTTTTGGCCACAGATAGGAAACGATATTCGGAATTATGTTAAGTCATGTGACTCATGTCAAAGAAGGGAAAACCCTGTTACTAGAGAACCTCTTCACCCTATTCGAATTGGACAACCTTTTGATCGAATAGGTATCGATATCGTTGGACCTCTTTCTGTTACTACGAAAGAATATCAGTATATAGTTGTAGCAACCGAATACTTAACTCGATGGCCTGAGACATGTGCTATTAAATGTGCTGATGCTGAAACAGTAGTGGCTTTTCTGTTCGAAGATATTATTTGTCATCACAGGAGTCCACGTGAGTTGCTTTCAGATCAAAAAACTTATTTTTGTAATAAAATTGTGGATGCATTGTGTTCCAAGATGAACGTTCGCCATTCAAAATCAACAGCTTATCATCTTCAAACAAATAGATTGGTTGAGCATTTTAATCGAACATTGTGTGAAGTTTTAGCTAAGTGTATAGAGCAGTTTAATGGTGATTAGAAAGATTATGTACCTGCGACCCTTTTCGCTTATCGAACAAATCGGCATTCTATGACCTGTTACGATCCTTTTTTCCTTGTATATGGCAGGGATGCTTTGTTACCTATAGAAACTGTAATTTCAACGTATCCATATGAAGCAATTACTGAGGAAGAGTTACAGGACCAATTATTGCGACGGATAGAAAGTTTGTTAGGGAAATTAACTGAA